TTTAAATCTATCATTGACCCCAAATGTTTGAACATTAGTGTAAACTACCCTTCATATGTTTGTGGTCTATTTAACAATGAATCTTGGAGGGGAAAAAATGGTTTAAACTGTTACAATGGTTTACACAAACGCATTAATCAGCACAACTGTTTTTAACATTGATAATAATTTCCTATTAATTCAATTGAATATGGTGACTTCAATTTACATGACGTCGTGAGCAATCAAGTCGTTTATATAGATCAGTGAGTAGTGCCCAGCATAAAAGTCCACTAAAGGAGATTTCTCGCATTTTACCCCTAAACTCTGGAATACCTATGAAGGTAAAAAGAGTAACAAGACTCGAGCATGAACAATAAATACTTGTATGCTAAAATTTACATTCACAGCTCCAACGTGAAAACCTCATCTAATATGCAATAACGTTGAAAAGATTACAGTTTCTGTCCTGACGAAAATTTTCTATCTTATTTTTTGCTTTGCAGAACAAGTTTGTGACTGACTTAATGAACCCAGTTGGTTTGGATCATGCTCAGAGATGTAAGGGTTACAAAAAGTTAACCAGAACTCTTATGAACTCCATCTTGTCTTTCAAAGAGATGGCAACATGAACGGGAAAAAAGGGGTTGTTGGTGAAAAAAGAGCCTTGACCTACAAAAGGTGCAGCTAATAATTGGTAAGCATGTCTGAATATCTTTTATCAATAGTTATTATATGAACTGCGCTGAGCGCATCTGTCAGCACCAGCCATAGCGTGGAAAGCGCAGTTTGAATCTGGCAGTTATGTCACGTCATGACAGACTTGTTTTCAAATTTTAATGTAATCAATCTCATTTCTTACAGACTATGTCAAAAAGAGGCACCCAGGCATCGGAGGCACTGAGATCAAGGTCTGCATGGCACAAAAGTTAAGAGATCTGAGGAGACGAGCAGAAAGGTAATATTCAGACGATCCAACATCCAAGTGTGATCCCTATGTGTCTGTTTACATTTGCGAAACCGACATGAGTGAAGACTGAGGACTCGGTTTATTCCTCAGTGTACATTGTGATCTATTCACATTTCGGGAACGTTCCCTAAAGGTTCCCGGAACGTTCTCCTAACCTCTACATCCCGATATGCCTGTACACAAATAAGTCTACAAAAAATATCTTCTATGTTGTTTATTTTTTCCAAAACATAAGAATCGTATGAAGATTACTACAATAAATGTAATGTATGCACAACATTTTAATGGCACGAAAAGCCATGTACATATATTTTAAATATATTTATAAAAAATTTTCAAAATTGCAGTTTGAAACCATGAAGATAACCATGAAGATAAAGATTCTAAAACTAAAGAGATTAGCCTGTAATAATTTAATAAATGTAAATAGGACATATATGATCATATACTAATTAAATATCATGAGAAACTGACATTGTTTATTGTTCACATTGACCTGAATAGTAATTATTTTAAAAAATTAAAACAATTGATTGTATGAATATAAAATCATTACAATAAATTAAATGTATGCAAAAAAATGTATCTACATATAAAAACCGTGAACATGTATTTTTATAAACATGTATTACAAAATTAAATAAAAATAATAAAAAATAATCATAAACTTGAAAACATAAAAATTCTAAGACTTTAGGAGATTATAATAATAAGTTTATAAATGTGAATAAATGTGAATATCTCAAGACAATTATCAATGAGAAACTATATACACGTTTGTTTAGCACACATATTATACATAAATACATAAAAAAACACAAAAAATGCAGGTATACACAGTCTGTGACTATACAAACCACAACATGTAAATAGGAAAACGTATGCGTTATTTTGTCACTCATTTGGATTAGTATGAAAGCCGCAACCATTCACATCCAGTCTTTGTGCTAAGCTAGGCTAGCGGTGGGTGCGTCAAACAGACTTATAGCACGCACGGAGATGAAAAAGGTATGTATGGACTTATCTAACTATGGGGGATGAGGTAAATAGGCTAAAGTCCCAAAAAGTCGTAGTGTTCCTTTAAGGTTCAGTCATTTCACTTAAATGGCAGTGACTGATTGAAGAATATATATACTTTTTTACTTTTCTTTGTAATAATGTTACTATTTGTTATTCTTACAGATGACTGTGGTGAAGATGGATGAAGATGGATGAGGCTTTCAAGTGCAGGATCTACAATTGTTTTCGTTTCACCTTTTTGTTTTGCCTGTTTTGAATGTGATGCACAGCCTAGGCCTATATAATTGTGTTTTTTTGTCTGTTTTTAATCAACAATTAAACAATGAATCGACAAAAACATGGACTGTACAGGTTTATTTATATAGATTTACTGTTGTATTTTATTGAAGTAAAAAAAAAAGATGAATTGTTGTTGAACATAAAGAAAACTATTGTCTATGTAATGTTCTGGGAACCAAAAACTAACGTTATGATAACCAAAAACTAATGTTCTGAGAACATTCTGGGAACCAAAATCTAACGTTCTGAGAACATTAAGAAAACTTTCCCAGCTAACCAAAAACAAACCATAAAAAATAACGTTCTGAGAACCAAAAACTAACGTTCTGAGAACGTTCTGGGAACCAAAATCTAACGTTCTGAGAACGTTCTGGGAACCAAAAATTGTTAGCTGGGTTTAACAACGTGATACAACTATGAAGGGGGGTGGGGGGGCTTACCTTTTTATGTTGTGTAAATGTAATGCTTGGCACAATAATGATGACATCGGTCTTTTTACCACGTGAAGAGTCCAGTATATGATGTCCATGGGAAAAAAATTGTCTAAAAACATGCAAACTGTTAAAAATATCCATATTACTTCTATTGTTTACATCCTGACATTTGCTAATCACATGGGGCGTTGTCCTGTTTATTCGACGAACTCTCCACATCTAGCACATTATTCAACGAAAACAACATATCAGTGTTTTTAGTAGAGTGTCTGGAAATGAATGAGATCGGTCCAGAAGATGTCCGATGAAAACTGGCCATGTAATTATAGAAAGTATTGAAGGATGTCAGGCGCTTTTGCTGACGTGTGATCATGTATAATGCTAATATGTGTGGTAAAAAAATAAACCAATAGCAATGGGAAACTTTTCTGTTGCCACCCATCTGAAGCCTATGGCATAACGAATACGCCCATGTGCGGATTTACATAATCTCGCGTTTATAACAGTGTTACTTTGTGCGCGCAACTATTTGCTTCATGGAAATTTACGCACACGTGACGAGGTTGTCATGACACACAGGCTCTGCTCTATGCTACACCTGCTGGCTGGCGTTCACTCGCTCTGTTTACATTCGCCGGCTGCAATGGGTTCACGTCGGGGACAGAAGTTATTTCTCCTACTGCTGCAATGGAATAACTTCTGCAAAGCTGGGATGAAGAAAACGTGTATTTTTCAGAAGAGAGTTCTGTATCCAGCGCCGTCTCTGAAGAAGAGGATATGTTTTTGGCAGGTCTCGATCCAGTTTTAGATCGGTAAGTTTCTAAACATTTTAGTGAGTTTGTTACATTGCTTTTTAGTTTTGATTTTCTGCACTAGTATTGGGGCTTATAAGTACATTGAAATGCAGTGCAATTCCATTGTTATTCAAGCGCTGAATTAGAAGTGTAACGTTACAACATTGAACATTATTTATGTAACTTTAGCTATAGGCTATTGTTTTGTATGTAGAACGCAAGACGAAGTTCAAACAAAACTTTTCAGAGAACAAAATGTAATTTATATGTAAGATAATCAGTTGTGTTAGGCGTGTTTCTAATCCATGTTGTGTAATTCAACAGTAAAGATTATGATGAGAGTACCAGACAACAGACAAAGCGTCCATGTGTTACTGCAACATCTACAGCTGTCTCTGGGAGATCAAGAGGAAAGAGACAGCCCAGCACTTTCTGGTAAGTAAATAATGTGAAGCAAGTAATGTTTAGTGAGGAAAAAATAGCATTTTAGGGCATTATTATTGTCTGATTACAGTCTGCACTATAAGCTGGTAGTGTGTGCAAATTAGGGCAACAAAGAGTGTCTATAGAGGTGAATTCCTGTATGTGAATGATAATTTGAATATAAAATCTGTAAACTGGTAAGTGTAAATGTGCAATCAGTGCAACAATAGAGTGGCTATGGAGGTGATTTGCTGTATGTGAATGATAATTTGAATATAAAATCTGTAAATTGGTAATGTAAATGTGCCATCAGTGCAACAATAGAGTGGCTATTATAGAGGTGAATTGCTGTATGTGAATGATCCTCACAGATTGTATTCAAAGTGCAAATTAGCAATCAGGGCAACAATTGTGGGTGTAGAGGTAGATTGCTGTATGTGAATGGTCATTTGAAAATAAATGTGTATTTATAAAAATGTTTAAGAAATCTAAATTTCTTTTCTTTTCCTGTTTGTCGTTCACAGTGATGGCACTTCAGCACCAATATTCTGCAACAGGATTTGGCTAAGGCTAAAAACCAGAAGCCAATGTCTCAAAAAGCATTCCTGGGAGACACTGATTTTGGAACTGGCTGGACATCCCACCAAAAGCAAGGTGCCTGACCCTCCTCCTCGTCGATCTTGTGAGTGTCACAGTCCTGTGCACATCAGCTTTTTCTGCTCACTTTTTGAGAAATGTTTATTACTGTCTTGATTGCTAATAACAAAGAGAAACTTTTGTTTGTAGATGTATAGAAATATATAAATAAAAACTTTTTATTTGCTAAATAATGTGTCGTTCTTAACCATTAAATGAATGGTAGTGAACAAAGACTTTGTTAAACTTTTTACAAGTAAGTTGCCAAGTGTCACTTTGGGGTCCTTTTGGTGCCCTTTCCAAAAATGCAAACACACACATTTTTATAAACATTTAGGAGGTAAACAATATACCAGATAAAGTATATATATTGTGCTTTGTCATATTGTATCAAGAAAACCCATTGAAATGATCAAACAAACTTGTTTTAGCTCATGGTAAAAGGTGGTTACCAAGTGTCCCTTTGGAGACTCCAAGTGGCCTTTTTGGGTAGGTGCCTAGACATGCGCTGAAATAAATCTTTGTAAAAAATTCATTTTTGCTTGTATAAACTTCAAATTTGAAACATACATTGTTAAGACCTATGGCTTTAGTTTGCTTGTGTTTCCAGGCCCATATATATTTGCCTTTAGCGTTTTTCTTTTTCATAAAAAAATAATATACAAAAAAAAAATTCTCGTCCATTGTTTTTGAGCTTATTTATCTCTCTGTTAGTAATTGCTCAGAACAATTTTAAGTCTTTCATAATAAACTGTCAAGTGTCAGCTTTTAAATGATACCTTGGTTTTGTGTGTGGTCACAAGGACTCATTAGCAACAACCATTTTATTATGGGTATGTCAGTTTGCACTCCATTGCCAAAAGGGGGGGTGCCAGTTAAGGGGTTAATAAAGATTAGGTAAATATGATTGTAAAATGATATTATACTGTAATAGAGAATATAACAAATTGTGTTCAGTTTCCAGCACAGTGTACATTTCTGTTCCTCGATGAATTCATATTTAGAGTCAAACTCATTAAAATAACCTAACCAGAAATTATTAAGACCATTCGGTTATTTTACACAGCAATATATCTGTTTGTAACTCACTTTATTTGATAGATTGTTTTTGCTGTTGCTGTTGTTGATGATAACTCTTTATTCTTCAATAAGATGTTGTTGATGTGTGTAAATGTTGTGATTTGCAGGTGATTCTGAAGGATTGAGTGTTTTCTGATCAGTTTTCAGGGTCAGTTTAGCTGCAGTATGTCAGAGGAAAGAGGAAAGGACTCTCTCTCTCAGATGAGTCTCTCAGAGAAACACAGGTGAGACTGCATCTGTTTTCACACTCTCACTTTAAACTCCACTGGACTTTGTGTTTGTAACAGGACTTTAAGTCTCGCTTAGTAGGGGAATATTTGGAACGTTACCCTGGGAGATTTAGAAACGAAAGGAACTTAGTTACCCTTCCCAGACGTCTTTGCATCGCGCGCGAATACTCCGGAGGAAGAAAAACACGTCAAAATAAAAGTCCCCATAGAAAAAAATACCTCCATTACATTCCCCCCTGCCAAACCCTGCCATACCATCGACATCTCCAGACAGCCTGCCCCTGGAACATTAACAGAACACAATTTAAAAGTGCAACATTATACAAAAGACACTTTTTCAAACTCAAACAAGTTCATACATATTTCTCATCACAACCTCAGTTATTTCATCAGATAATCATCTCTATACCTCACAGGTAATTTACCAGATAATGTACTAGATGATGACAAAGGAAAGGTGCAGTGACGGAGCTGATCCCTGTGTACTACTCTGGGCTGACCCCCCTTTTCAGGTTTTATAGTGAATACAGGTGTGTCAGGGTGATTCTGTTTCACTACAATGTAAGGTGTATGTTCCCACTTGTCTTGAATCTTATTTATGCCCCTACATTTGTGGTTATGTAGCAGCACATGATCATCAGGCCTTGCAAGCGCTCCAGAGGACTTGCGGTCATACACTCTTTTCCATCTCTTAGAGGCTTCCTGTGCGGCCGTATTTGCGACTTCTACAGCAGTCTTTAACCGACGATGATGACTCTTCACCCAGTTTTTCATCCAGGTTTTCCACCTCACTTTCATCCAAATCCTTGCCACCCAAGACATCTAATGGAAGGCGTGCATCCCTCCCGAACATCAGGTAGAATGGAGGATAACCAGTAGATGAGTGGACATGATTGTTGTATGCCATCACTAGCTCAGGTAAGTGGGTTTTCCAATCTTTCTTTTTTTCAGGTGTCAACGTTCTCAGCATATCACGGATGGTGCGCTTGAATCTCTCGCACTGAGAGTTTCCTTGGGGATGGTAAGGACTTGTACGGCTTTTTCCAATAGCATATACTCTACAAAGTTCCTTAATCACTTGTGCTTCGAAACATCTTCCCTGATCCGAATGCTGACTAGCTGGGCACCCGTAGTAAACAAACCAATGCTTGATAAGGGCCTTTGCAGTGGTACTTGCTGTTTGGTTCTTGGTTGGAACAGCGACCGTAAACCGTGTAAACATATCAGTAAGAACCAGTACATTCTCATACCCTCCTGAGGACATTTCTAGCTGAGTGTAATCCATCGCCAGCACTTCCAAAGGAGCAGTGACATTGCTACAGGTCATCGGAGCTCTGATTCTTGGAAAGACACTGCGATATCCATCCTTGAATATCCTTAGACATGTTCGGCCAGTAATAGCTTTGTCTCATCAGTGTCAAAGTACTCTTTTCTCCAAAATGACCTCCATGATCATGTTGACTATTATACATTTAATGCTGTAAAAGGGTTGGAACAACCAGCTGCCTCACTTTTTCTCCATCCCTTGGATCAAGAATACACCTAAACATTACTCCATGGTGTATTTGAAGACGTTCAAACTTACTTGGCTTTCTGTCTTTGGATACTCTACTGTGTATTGGACCCAACAAGGCATCACTCCTTTGCAGCTCCCTTATTTCATTCTGGCTGAAACCTTTCAGTGCTTTCTTAATGGTCACTTGTACGGCCACTTGAACATCATCCTCGCCGTGCTTGGACTCTTGTGCAGGCCACATGCATGCACGCACTTCCTCAGAGTTCAGCTTGATGAAATCCTTCTCTGTGTCCTCTTGTTCAGGAACTTCACTGGAGGGAACCCTCGATAAAACATCCGCATTGGTGTTCAGTCGTCCTGGCTTATACATGACCTCGAAATTAAGCTCTGCTAACTGGGCCACCCAGCGTTGTTTGGGTCAGTGATTACTGTGAAGCAGGAGAACATCAGATACTCTTTAAATTTTTCCATTGCAGCCCACTTAGGGGCCAACAGCTCCAGTTTAAACGCACTGTAGTACTTGTCATTTTTATCTGACCCTCTCAAACCTCTGCTAGCAAATGCAATGACGCACTCTGCTCCCCTTTGCTTTTGGCTCAATACAGCTCCGAGGCCCTGTTGACTTCCATCGGTAGTGAGGATAAATGGAAGGCCAAAGTCAAGGTAAACAAGGACTGGTGGTGACATCAAGCATTGTCTCAATTTGTCAAATGCAGTCTGGCATTCACTACTCCACGAGAACAGTTCAGAGGCTCTCCTTTTGTCTTTGCTGCCCATGAATGCATGCAACGGTTTTGCTATTTGAGCAAACTGTGGTATGAACCATCGGTAATAACTCATGAATCCAATCAATTGTCTCACTTCCTTCACATTCTTAGGCACAGGCCAAGCATCCAAGGCACTAACCTTTTCGCTGTCAACTTTGATTCCTTCAGAGGAGATCACATGGCCCAAGAATTTTACTTCTGATCTGAAGAGGAAACATTTGCTTGGCTTCAACTTTAGGCCATGATACTTCAGTCGATCAAAGACCAGCTCTAGTCTCTCACAGTGACCCTGGAAGTCCTTGGAAAAAAATGATAATACCATCAAGGTATATCAAGAGTACATCAAAAGACAAATCCCGAGCACTACTCCCATAAGGCGCTGGAAGGTGGCTGGCGCGTTGCACAGCCCGAATGGCATCCACTCAAACAGTCCAAACGGGGTAATGATGACTGCTGTCTTTTCACGATCACGCTCACTCACAGCTACCTGGAAATAGCCGGCCATAAGTTCCAGGGTGGAGAACAGCTGAGCATTCCCCAGTGCGTGCAGAGATTCTTTCACTTTGGGAAGTGGATATGCGTCTTTGCATGTGACTTGATTAAGCCTTCTGTAATCACAACAGAAGCGCACACTGCCGTCTTTCTTCACAACTATCACTGCTGGGGATGCCCAGGGACTCGCACTCTCCTTAAGGATGCCTTGTGACACTAGATCCTGCATGTGTTTCTTGAATTCTTGGAAAACATGTGGCGATACTCTACGGTGTCTGTTTCACTGGCGGAGCAGCACCGGTGTGAATGTCACTGTCACTTTTGGAGAATATGCCTCTTTACTTTGCCAACAACTGGTTAAGTTCTTCTCTTTGTGCAGGGTTGAGCTTTTCGTAATTTTACCTGAACCAGTACTGGAGGGTTGTCAGAGATTTCAACTGCTTGAACATGCGTCACTTGTTTAACATGAAGCGTCCCTTCCTCATCCTCAAACTCCAGCGTATTCTCAGTTAACACCTCCCGTGGTTTAGACACTACAGCCACTCTGCATCTTGGGTTAAGTCTGATTGTCCGCTTGCTCAAATTCATCACACGTACAGAAACTTTACCACCCTCAGTTTTTGTTAGCACATTGGCCTCTAGGAGCCCCTTAGGTAGACTCACACTAGTGGTGGACTCAATACTTGACACTTCACTTTAGGTGGCACTCTGCAACGGCCTTCGAACACTTTTTCACTCAGAGGAGGGATGGTGATAGCTTGTTTTACACCAACTTTGACAAACCCAATCTTGCCATCAGGACCCAGAGTTTCAGTTCTCAACACTGGCTAACACCATTCGTATCTTTGCTTCTGCGGGTTGTCCATATTTGTTGGCTGACTTCACATTCTCTCCTGTGACGAACACTGACTTGAACTCCCTGATTGTTCTTTCCAATGATTCCTGAGAGTCCCTTCATCTCCTCTGCTTGTGGGCTCGTGTCTGTCAGCACACCGATACACTTCCCAGGGAGAACCTTCCCCATGCACTCCACATCAGCTTGTAAACATCCTAGGACAGGAATGTTGAGCCCATTCGCTGCAGTGAGTCTAACCCAGAGAGCAGATGTCAACCTCAGCTCTTGTTCTCCGAAGCGCTTTCTAAAGTATGACTCTGTAATAGTGGACACTTCTGAGCCTGTATCCAGTAAGCAGCTTGTCTTGACACCTGTTATTCTAACTTCAACAGTCAGGCAATCTCCAAATACGCCACTTTTCAACTTTTTATGTGCTGTACTTGTTGGAACGATTCCAGTGTTAGTTCCAGGCACCCCCGTAGAATGTCGGGCCCGATCAGTCACTGTACCTGCTTCAGTACCTTGTGGACATTGCCTGCTAGTGTGCCCTGGTTCACCACATGAATAACATATGTATCTTCCATCACTGTCCTTCAGGGGTTGTCTTTTTGGACGGCTCTGTTGAAATTGCACCCTGCTATTAACGTGTACTGCTTGGTAAAGTTCATCTTGACGGACGGCAATCTTTTGTTAAGCTTCATGCAGTTTCTCCAGTGTTAACGTAACCTACTCTGACCTGCGGGCTGGGCTTTGGAATATGTGGGGTTTGAGTCTCTTCCTCTTCAGCCCAAGTGATTGCAGCTTGCATTACCTGAACAAAAGTTAACCTTGCATAACCTTGCAGTTCTCTGTCCGATGACGCAATCGAACACTCCGGAGAAAGAAAAACACGTTAAAATAAAAGTCCCCATAGACAAAAATACCTCCATTACAAACACAACTTTAAGCATTGTTCTATATTTGCAAATGCTTTGCACAACTTAAATTTTAATTTCTTAAATAATACTGACATTGTCTGTAAAGCTCTGTTTTCTGTATAGAAAATATCATGGTTAATAATTTGTAAATAACCTTCTACACGCTGAATTAATCCAAATAAATAACTAGATTTTAGATCATAAAATTATTAAAACCAACACATTCTCACCCCAAGGTGTCACCTTTGACCATGCTTCAATATTTGACGTTTTAGGCGCCCTTTAGCGTCACTTACATGACGTGATCCTACGGCGTCATCTAACTGACGCTAAAGGAAAGCGTCAGTTAGAGGACGCGGTTAGGTTTAGGTATGGGGTGGGGGTAGGGTACACGCGATCCTAGGGCGTCATCTAACTGACGCTAAAGGACGCCTAAAGCGTCAGATATTGAAGCATGGTCAAATGCATGGTCACCTAACTGACGCCTTGGGAGTGAGAATGGGCTGATTAAAACACATTAGAAAACAACTATACACGTTATTTAATTTAACTTGCACAGACATTTCTGTTCTCCATTTTGGTCAATCAACAAACACTTGACATGTTATCTTAAATTAAAGTACTTTTTTACTTGTTTAATCTCACTCATGTATTAAAGAAATTGTTAAACTAATGTGAGCCAGTAAATAAATGATGGTTAACTATAAAACTGTAAATTGTGTGTGTGTGTTTCTGTGGAGGATTAGATAAAGACACAGATGTGTTTCAGACACAGTTGATCCTCCTTTACTAAAGTGTTTTCTCTCTCTGTGTGTTCTTTGTGTCATCAGTGTAAGATCAGGGTCACATGTGTCCAGCTCTGTGTCTCTGAAGAGTGATTGGTCTAATGATTGTCCACCAAACTTTAGTGAGAAAACACCATCATCTAATAAAAGGTATTTTGTGTTACTCATTTTAGCATCAGCTAATGCCTATTTCTCTTTCTGTAAAATATCAGTTAGTATTTTATTTTACTAATGTGATTACAGGCTTCAATATGAGACATTAGACTCAGACCTTCAGACTCGCAGGAACCACAAGAATTTCAAAGACAATCTTCTTGGGATCTTTCAGGTAGGAAAACACATTTTTATAAATGTTTAATATTTAAACCCAAATGGTTTATTGATCACTTATTTTCCCTTTTAAACATTTTAGCACACCTTTGGTCAGCATGTTAGTCTTTTAACTGGATTTTTTTATGTACATGTATTATAATTATTTAATGAGTAGTGTTGAGAATATGTAGGTGTACAATTTGGCTTAAATTGTGTTATTCTGTCTTTTCTTTTACTTCTGTTTGTAGGATCTTGAGAGCAAAATAATCACATTTCTGAAGAATGAGCTGGAGAAGTTAAAGAAAATATTACAACATGAGAACACGCAACACTTTGTGAAGGACTTTAATGAGAACAGATCCAGTATCAAATCAGCAGCTCTTGATCTCACACTACATTACCTGAGAGAGATGAAGCAAGATGAAGCTGCTGATGCTCTAGAAGGCAAGAGACTCGTCATCATCTGTCTGATTGTCTCTTATAAATGTAGGAGAGAAAATGAAGACCAAAACTATCTATTTTCTGTTCCTGTGTTTAGATGAGCTGTTCTTCATTCATCAGCTGAAATCTGCCCTACAGAAGAAGTATCAATGTGTGTTTGAAGGAATGGCGAAGCAAGGTGACTCCACACTCCTGAATAACATCTACACAGATCTCTACATCACTCAGGGTGGCAGTGAACAGGTCAATACTGAACATGAGGTCAGACAGATTGAAGTTGCTTCCAGACGTCATGAAGCACAAGAGATACAGGTTGAATGCACACATTTGTTTGAAGCGCCTGAACAAGACGAGGAGATCCGAACTGTACTGACAAAAGGAGTAGCTGGCATCGGGAAATCAGTCTCTGTGCAAAAGTTTGTTCTGGACTGGGCTGAAGGAAAAGACAATCAAGATATCAGCTTCATATTTCCTCTTCCATTCAGAGAGATGAACTTAAAGGAGAAAGAAAAACTAAGTTTGATGGACCTTTTAACTCAGTTTTTCCCAGAGACAAAAGGACTGAACCTTACAAGAAGGAATCAGTTCAAAGTGCTGTTCATCCTTGATGGATTGGACGAATGTCGCCTTCCTCTGAAGTTTGATTGTAATGAGACGTGGCGTGATGTATCGTCACCAGCCTCTCTGGATGTTCTCCTAACGAACCTCATAAAGGGAAATCTGCTTCCTTCTGCTCTCGTCTGGATCACCAGCAGACCAGCAGCTGCCAGTAAGATTCCTCCTGACTGTATCGACCGGCTGACCGAGATACGAGGATTCAGCGACGCACAAAAGCAAGAGTACTTCAAAAAAAGATTCAAGGATGATATTCAAGCCAACACAATCATAGATCATGTTAAACAATCAAAGAGTCTCTTTATCATGTGCCACATCCCAGTCTTCTGCTGGATTTCAGCCACTGTTCTCCACAACATTCTGGAGGAGAAGAGAAATGATGTGAGAAACACTCAGGCTGATGAGATCTCTAAAACACTGCAGGAATCAAACACTGAAGACACTCCCAAGACTCTGACACAAATGTACACACACTTTCTCCGCTTTCAGATCCAGCAGAGCCGCCGGAAATATGATGGAGAATACACACCAGATGTTTCCTGGGATAAAGACGCCATCCTTTCACTGGGGAAACTGGCATTTCATCAGCTGGAAAGAAACAACCTGATCTTCTATGACTCAGACCTGGAAGCCTGTGGTCTTGACGTCTTTAAGGCATCAGTGTACTCAGGCATGTGTACCCAGATCTTTAAGGAGGAAACAGGGATCGTTCTTGGTACCATATACTGCTTTGTTCACTTGAGCATTCAAGAGTTTATTGCAGCCCTTTATGCACATCTGTTTCTAGACATCAACAAGACAAGTGTGTTTGATCATGAGTCTACAGAACAGGAAAACAGAAATGAAACCATGATTGATTTTCTCAAGACTGCAGTGGACAAGGCGCTGGAGAGTGACAATGGACACCTGGACCTTTTCCTTCGCTTCCTCCTCGGTCTGTCACTCCAGTCCAATCGACGACTCTTACGAGGTCTGTTGACACAGCGAGACGGCACTGACCAGAGCAACAAAGGGAAAGTTCGAGGACTCTTACGAGGTCGTTTGACACAGCGAGACGACACTGACCAGAGCAACAAGGAAATAGTTCAGTATATCAAGCAGAAATTAGAAGCTAATCTTCCTGCAGAGAGATCCATCAATCTGTTCTACTGTCTGAATGAACTGAACGACCAAACTCTGGTGAATGAGATTCAGACCCACCTTACCAAAGGAAGTCTCTCCTCTGGTGACCTTTCACCTGCCCAGTGGTCTGCTTTAGCCTTTGTGTTGTTGACATCAGAGGAAGAGCTGGAGGAGTTTGAGCTTCAGAAATTCAAGAAATCAGACGAGTGTCTCATTAGATTATCGGCAGTCATTAAAACCTCCAAAAGAGCACTGTAAGTCTTTTAATGTATTTTGTCATGTTTTACTCTCAATTGAAAAATGCATTTATCTCAATAATGATTCCCCATTATAAACATGAATCTATTACCTGTAAAGCTTTTGCGTGTGTGTGGAGACAGTTTATCACAACTTAAGACAAAATATAAAATACCATGTAAAAATGTTTTCGTGTTTGTTTTGTATCATATGAAACACCCGACTTTTATGACTTATACAGAATTATATATATATTAGGGGTGTAACGATGCACATATTCGTATTGAACCATTCGGTACGAGGGTTTAGGACCATTTTTCCTGCCGACCAAAATTTCATTAGTGGGGAAAACATCTCAGGGTGGCAGTGGCAAACATCTAGGGGGGTTCGGGGGCAAAATTGTTTACATTTTAAGGTTAAATGCATCAATCTCGTGCTCTTTGAGAGATCAACGTTAAGAGCTTCAACCCAGTCCAGGCAAAGTAGCGTTTTACGACAGACTAATTGTAAAAGAATTTTTTTCAGCATAGATCATTTCTATGAGGTGTCCAGAACAACATACTAAAAGTCCTAAGAAATCCTAGTTGAGGAAATATGTTTAATTCGCATCAATCCGAGATGTGTGCCAGTAAGGCCAGACAGCAATACACCCCAATGGGTTTATTTTTTTCCTTTACTCCTATCAAAATAAAACTTTATACAATGAAAGTATCCATGAAAAGTAACAAATTTTGTATTACAAGTTTCTTTGAAAATGAATTTTATTATGCAAATGAGCTATACACTAATCGAATATGCCCAAAATACACCCAAATAGGCTTCATTTTTTCCTTTACTCCTACCACAATAAAACTTTACACAATGAAAGTCTACAAGAAAAGTAAAACATTTTGTATTAGAAGTTTCTTTTGAAAATGAATTTTATTATGCAAATGAGCAATTTACTAATCGAATATGCCCAAAATACACCCTAATGGGCTTAATTTTTTTCCTTTATTCCTACCACAATAAAACTTTACAAAGTAAAAGTATACAGGAAAAGTAACTTTTTTTGTATTACAAGTTTCTTTTGAAATTAATTTGAATATGCACATGAGCTCTACACTTATTGAATATGTCATAATTTGCATAGGCAGAAACACCCTTCATATGTATGACAAATCGGCCCAATCTTCATCCAATCATCCTACTGCCAATGGGTGATGGCAATGCTGCTTTTAGACTGGCCTCTAACCTAAAAACTGCCTGGCTTGGTAGTACCTGTCAGGGGTATAACCCCTGCCGGTATAGTCTTCAGGGTCACAGAGGTACACAAGCCTCAGGGGAGGGTTGGGTGTTTTTTATTTTATGTTATTATTTTATTTTATCCTCGACCCCTTGTCTGTGGCTCTTGGTTCTGGCATACCCAAATCAGTTCCTGGTTTGTTCTTTGCTTAGTTCTTCCCCTTATATTCATCTGATAGATAAGGCGACTGTGAGTTTGTGCATGCAGCTAGTACCACGACATTCTCTGCAAATGGCAGTGCAAGGGAGTCCATGTTTTTTGCATGTTCTTCTCTTTGTGCCACAGGCTTTCTTGAAACTACAGCGGACTACATCTAGTATTTCTGGTGGTGCCGCAGGCTGATCGGTCATTATTGGCAAAACTCCCCCATCCAAAACATGCCACCCCCCGTCTTTTGGGTCCATACGTTCACTTCCCCCTTTCCACACCATCATTTGTTTAAAGACCCGAAGACTATGGAACATTGCAGATGTTGACGTTGGACGGAGAGTTTGAGGTTCCACTGGAGATGAGTTCGGGGTCACTTTTCAGTCACTATTCAGAATATAGGGCCACGGGTCGGCACATTCCCGGGATGGGCCGGCTGCGTCTCCATCCATTGTTTCGTCCATGGTTTGGTCTCTTATCTGAATCTGACCATGGAGTTGACTTTGGCGGAAAGCTGAAGGTGATTGCTGATATCAGACCACGTCTCATTGAGAATGAAACATTGTCTAGAAACCACATGTTCATTTTCTCGTGTTTGAGGGGTGGTTTATGAATGCCTGGAGCCGTATTATTGGGTGCTACGAATGTCTATCAAATGCGTCTGTACGTAGCTCATAGCCAATCGGGTCAATGATACTAGATGACGTATTTAGAACGGCAGAAAATTAGACGAGGAAAAAGACGATGGGTCAGAGATTTAGGAGATTTAAAGTAAAACTTCAAATAATAGCGAGTCCCAAATAGTCTGTCTCTTTTACACGCCTGGTGTGGCTGCAGGTTTGGGTAAATAAAAGCCGGTCTCAAATAGAGGCCAGGTCTGTTTTTTATTTTCGGGTTGTTAATCTTCTAAAACCATCAGATCGTCAGCTTTTTGGCGTCTGCCAAAGCAAATTTTTGTCCCGCCAAAGCCTATTTTGATCGGTGAGTGATGTAGAATAGAAACTGCTGCACTTGATAGGACACATAAGGAGCAGAGAGAGCTCACCGGACACGCTCGCGCACGTCTTCAAACAACACGAGCGCTGTCTTGCTCTCTCTTCCTCGCGCATAATCAAATCAATTGACACGATAGTAAAAGGTTGGAAGATCGCAGTTTCAGGTGGAGCATTTGGAGATTTTAAGAGATTATAGACTCATTGAACCACATCTCTCAACACTAAATTATAAAGGCCGTTATCATATTGACGCCTGTCTCAAATACAAGCCGGTGCAGTTCGATGATTTGGGAAAATAAGAGCCAGGGCTATTATTTTAAGTTTTACAGTATGTATGTATACACAAAGACTGTATCAAAAGGTAACTTCGCGTCCACTGCCAAGATGGATCCATAGAGATACACAAACTGCTGCGGTGTTGCATAGACATCGTCATCTTCTTGCCGCTCCCTCCCCGTTCTATGATTGGTTCCCTAGCTCAGGTGAAAATTTGGTTCATGGTGTCCAGGCTGCCTAGCAGCATGAATAAAATCGCGCTGTGGCAAGACAGCATGAGGAAACCCAGGCTAGGCGCTTGCACAATCCAATCACGTTTGAGAGGGAAACAACAAATTGAGGGTTTCCGAGATTTTTCTTATTTTCATTTTTTTTTTTTTAGAAGTAGTAATGGGTGCTCACTGTTATGGATAGAAATGTAGTGGAGTAAATAGTACAATATTTCCCTCTCAATTGTACTTGAGTAAAGTCAAGAGTACTCCCCAAAAATTATCCTCAAGTAAAGTACAGATCCCTCAAAATTGTACTTAAGTACTGTACTAAAGTAAGTGTACTCTGATACGGTCCGGCTCTGCTAATTGCATACATTTTTGTTTTACAAGATAACTTGTAAAACAAAAAGGTTACTTTTCATGTATACTTTCACTGTCATTGTTCTGTGAGGTTTAATTGTAAGTTTTATAGGAGTAAAGGAAAAAAAATAAGCCCATTAGGGTGTATTTTGGGCATATTCGATTAGTAAATTGCTCATTTGCATATTCAAATTCATTTTCAAAGAAACTTCTAATACAAAATGTTTTACTTTTCTTGTAGACTTTCATTGTGTAAAGTTTTATAGTGGTAGGAGTAAAGGAAAAAATTAAGCCTATTTGGGTGTATTTTGGGCATATTCGATTAGTGTATAGCTCATTTGCATAATAAAATTCATTTTCAAAGAAACTTGTAATACAAAATTTGTTACTTTTCATGGATACTTTCATTGTATAAAGTTTTAATTTGATAGGAGTAAAGGAAAAAAATAGCCCCATCGGGGTGCTGTCTGGCCTTACTGGCACACATCTCGGATTGATGCGAATTAAACATATTTCCTCAACTAGGATTTCTTAGGACTTTTAGTATGTTGTTCTGGACACCTCATAGAAATGATCTATGCTGAAAAAAATTCTTTTACAATTAGTTCTATTTTTGGCTCCAAAATGGGCTATTTTGCCTGGACTAATGAACTGCCCGTTGAACAAAGAAAAAGCATTGATTTGTACCAGGACAATAAAGAGGGCTCAAACATCTTTTTAGTTATGAGAGTCTCAGTCTACATTACATAAGCAACGGTGTTCCCTTTCGAAGGGAACTTAACAATACGTCGAATGACGCTATGGGGGGGAACGCCTCAGGCATGACAGGTGTCTGAAATTAAATATCAACTCACAGTAATCAGGTTGACCGGCGACAGCCCGTGCATTATCAGCTTGAAATGATGAGCGCGTCAATCTGGATGTATAAGAAGGGCGCCTTGAAACCGTGACACCATCCTTTCGTCTTCAGGGACTGTTTGTCTGTTTGATAGTATCAACGATTAAGCGTGCAGAGACGCGGAGAAACACTTTTCGTGAGTGTGCTGACCTGTGTCCAGATATTTGACACCGGAGGATTCACATGATCTGTGCGTGTTCTGCCTGGGAGAAGAGCACACGCGGGAAGCTCTTGAGGGAGTTTTCTGCGCGAACTGAGAGTTTTCCTATCAGAACTCTCTGCTCTCGTCAGTCCCACTCCCACTCTCGAGGGAAGTGGGCGCGGCATCTGAACCCCGCGGTTCCGGTTCCCGCTTGAGCTGTGGCTCAGTGGCGGTTGAGCTCGTGGAGCTTTCAGATGGAGCTGGCAGATTATCTGGAGAGGGTCGTTAACTTCGCGGATGATCTACCAGCTGACGAGGGTGAGTTATAGATCAATGTTGAAGCTCTTTTCTTTCTCTTTCTGAAAGAAAAATAAATGAATTAATCAATTAATTAAAAACAAAATGTTTTGCTCTGTAACTGTTCTCTTCGGACTATGCAGGAGTTGGCTGCTGAGGATGTCAGTTTGGTTGAGACCAGACCATCTCCAGGCTGACATCGGGGAGAAAGGAAACTTTTCTCCTCGATTCACCGGTTTCGCTTTCAGAGCTTTTCGGCCCTTCCGTCGAGATGGTGGTCGATAAGATCAGGGAGGGCACGTTCTGCTGCGTTTAAGAGCTGCATAACGCGGAGGTCCGCTGCCCAGCCACGGGCAGATGGAGGGGCCTAGTCTGTCGTGGTCTGAGGATCACAGACAGACCCAG